CCCTTTGTATGACTTATGTCCCTAACTCTTAGATACTGTTATATTTATTGGCCAGATTGGAGTAATCTACTCCACTGAACGGAAAAGCTCCGGTTGATGAAACCCTTTCTATTGGTAGTTGGCCCATAAATGGATTGTTAAATAGATGTTTTCTACAACTCTGTTACCAATTAACGACTTTCATGGATTAGGGTGACAACTTAACCGTGCTAATACGACTTATGAGTCAGCCCAAGATGTAAATTTGATTTGGATACTTCCAACACCTCAGAAACTTCTATCAAAAGTTTTACTAATAGAACTTCCCCATAAAATTCTAACCTTGGTATCGAAATTAGTTTTATGAGGCGACTCTTTTTTGCAGTAACTAAGCTTACATGAATATTTTCTTAAATATCTATTACACGTAAATAAACTACTCCTGCATAAGCTACGTTTAAAGCATTCTAGAATCCATGGAGTTCATTCATTACCATTACCACATTACCACAAGACATCATCTATCGAGGTATACGTAAACTGGATAGTTGTTCCAAATCTTCCCGATATTAAATCTATTCCGCTAAAAGTATCTTGGATATTGATTTATCCCAACCAATGCCAGATATCCACAATTTTTGAATAAAGATTTTTGCTTTGATAATACTAGGAGCTATCCAACTATAATTTTTCTCTTTGTTACAGGTTTTGTCATGAGAGCTAATTTAACTGTATATATAAATTCGTCATGTTTACGATTCCAGATTAGTCCAAGTATTTTATTTATACTATCTTGCTTCTCAATTAGCTTTTTCTCTTCTGAGTTCTCTTCTATCTCTTAGGCCTTCATAATATTTGCTATAGCTTTATTATTGTTATTCTATTTTTGTAAACGAATCCATCTTCTTTAAGTAAGGTTTTCATCTGCTTGTAAATGTAAATTGATTGATCTTGACTCTGACATCCTGATATCAAGTCATCCATATAATGGTCTCTTTTGATCCCCTCAGCAGCAAGTGAATATTTTTCACGTTCATTTATCCGTAATAACGTTTTAGCAGCCAGATATGGTGCTGCAGAGATATCAAAAGTTTCTCGCAGCATCTTGCATTCGCGGATATTATCTATATTGCTTTCACGCCATAAAATCGGTTGGTAATCTGCGTCATTAACACGTATTTGCCGGTACATTTTCACTATATTGGCATTGTAGCAGATTGCATGAATTCGCCAACGCATTATGATGTGACAAAGTTCTGCTTGATGGGTTGGTTCGATCATTAAATCACCATTCAGACTCACTCCATTTGACCCTTTACAATACGATACGAACCTTGATAGTTGTATTATCTTCAGGTACTATCGAATGATATGGTAAGTATACTCTTTGGTTGTAATCTTCCTTTTTGACTCGTTGCATATGATTCAATTAAATATTTTCTTGTATTCTGATTTAAAATTTGAATCTCGATTTAGTTTTTTTTTCGAGCAACATTAAGCTTTTTATTGCTAGTTGCCGTAGTTAACCCTTCTTACAGGCTGGTGATTCGTCTCTAAAAGACAACTTGACGATTTGTCGACCACTTTCATCGCGTTTAGTGGTGGAAGCAAATATTTCCTCTTATCTTTGCTCGTCCTTAGACATAATCCATTTTGCAGAATTAGACTCATCCTCTACCTCCCAGAATGACTTGAAAACATCGTCTGCTCGCACATGCATAGATATTATATACTCCGACGTAGATTCCTTTACAAAAGGAACATACCTTTATCATATCTTGTCAGTTTCAAGGCACTCCTTTTTATGCCTCAGTCAGTATCGGAATCCTCGGCGTCGACATATCAAGTGACGTGCAGTCTTGTAATCACTTGGAAGAGAAGGCTAAATTAACCTCTAAAAAGCTTGGTGTGCTCAGCAGAGCGGGACAGTATTTCATGCCAGCTCACCGCCTGCAACTTTACAAGGCGCAGGTTCAGCCGCACATGAAATACTGTTCCCATCTCTAAGTTGGTACAGTCCCCAGTACCAGCTCCTTCCATTTGATCGCATCCAGCGCAGAGCTGTTCGAATCGTCGGCGACTGAGCTCTTTCCGATCGGCTTGACTCACTGGCACTGCGAAGAGATTTTGCATCTCTTTGCGTATTTTATCGCATCCACCACGGGGAGTGTTCTGAGAAACTGTTCGTACTAATTCCAGCCGCACAGTTTCACCATCGCACATCCAGACCAAACTCGTGATACCATCCATACCATCTGGATGACTAGCGGTCCACGACTGTGCGATATAAAAGAAGTTTTCTTCCTCGCACAACTTCCTTGTGGAATCGACTAACACTAGAGATTTTTCTGGACCAATACGACTTTCAAAAAAAGAGCTTACTTCTTTTAAAAAGGCGGGCAACGCATCTGCAATCTCACAAAGAGTCCAATTTCATGCTTATTATATTAATTACAATGATATCCTATGACTTAGTATCACTGTTCATATTATTGAGACAGTGTGACATACTTGTGGTACCATCTATAAAATATTTTATTGTGGTGGCAAACTCAGTTGGAACGCTCTTTAGACCGAAAAATTGCTTCAAACTATTATTAGCTAAAATTGTTTGCTACTATATCTTTATTCCTACAAAGTCCAATATTGTTCATGGTTCTCATTGGTAATAATTGTTTAGCTTCTCCGGTTTTGTCATTTTAAATAATTTAATTTCAGCACATTATCAATAGAATCGATGTTATGTACAAGCGAAAGAAACAAATCCCTAATCCATTCAGTGTAAGGGCCCCAAAACACAGGTATCGTTATTTTTGGTAGCTTGATAAAAAACGTGAGTCTCCGTTGAACCGTCATCATTTCTATCATTCGAAATAAATAACAGAATTCTTTATTTGTCTAACATTTCTTGCAATTATGTTTTAATCATTGAATAATAATAATTCCTCAGTATCAATTTATATATCTTCTTCTAAATAGTCACAATCTTCCGTTCCATTTACTTCAATAATTTCGTAGTAATTATTTGTAAGCTCTTTCCATTTGTTTTCTGTAGATTTTATTCTTATTCCTATGATTTTTTGTCAGTGTTTCTTTTGAAGTTTTCCTGAAATTTATTGTCGCCTTTTGCAATATTATACTATATTTTTCGATATTAATTTTGATATAATACGAAAATTTTACAATAATTTACATCAAATTCAAAATATTTCACAATTCTTCTATGTTCTTAGAATAACTTTTCTTTCTCACGTCTTTTACAAGTCTCTTATGCTTGTTTTCAACAACGACAGAAAATTGGGCATAGATTTCTCGTCCGTCCTTTTTTTATAAACTATTCTAAGAACCTGAGCTGTCTGACACTAAATAATTTATTACTTCCCCTTTTGAAATACTGTTATATACTAATATGCACAGTACTCACAATTTGCAATCCGTATTTATTCAGATCACTGTCCTTTTATTAGACTGCCCGTAGCCTAGTAATTGAATCAGTTTGGTAGTTCCCTTATTCACTGTTCGTTTACTCGCCTGATATTCACAACCACAACTTGCGGCGTGATGGTAGCACTCCAACTCCTGTGAATTTTTCGACAATCTCCCGTTACCAGGAACTAGAGATGCTCACAGTGAAACCCCGTCTAATATAGACTTCTAACATAAATCCGATTTGAAGGACCATCTGTAATCGCGTACTGTATTAGTAGGTAACCTCAGTTGATGGGAAAGGTGTGAAACGAATAAACACATGTACTCAGATTTAATTTCATATATATCAGAAATGGTCGCGAACTTCTATCAAGCTAGAAACATACATACATACATATATTTATATTAAAGTGTCATGAGGTATCATGAATTGAGTGAATCGAACTTGCAAACACGCGTCGACATCTGTGTTACTTTGGTCAACCGACACAAAAATGAAGGGATTTTAAATCGAATCATTATTTGCGATGAAAAATGGATACTGTACGATAATTGGAAGCGCTTGTCGCAATGGCTGAACCCTGGATATCCAGCGAAATCCTGCCCTAAATTAAAATTTACTCAGAAAAAGTTACTTGTGAGTGTTTGGTGGACTAGCGTCGGTGTCATTCACTACAGCTTTCTAAAATCTGGCCAAACGATAACTGCAGATATCTATTGCCAGCAACTGCAAACCATGAAGGAAGAACTAGCTGTTAACCAACCGACATTGGTCAATAGCTTTAGGCCACTGCTGCTTTACGACAACGCAAGACCACACATTGCACAACAACAACCACATAGTTAGATGAGCTACAATTGGAATGTCTGCGACCTTCACTGTACTCCCCAGACCTTGCTCCATCATATTCAAGTAAAAAAAATCATTTTTGATGCGGCAGTCCAAACCGCCTTCAAAGGGTTTATTGATTTTCGCCCCAATAGGTCTTTTAGTAAAGGGATCAATGAACTACCTATGAGAGGGCAAAAGTGCATAGATAACAACGGTGCATACTTTGATTAATTAAACATATTTTACAAAAAAAATTGACTTTATATTCCTCCCGTACAAAACACCAATTTCATATCTAAGGACCTATTATCAAGTAGACATAAAGTCGTGGCAACGAGGGGCACGTCATCCATGTTTAAAAGATACACATTGAATGAATACAGACTAGTTAGTAAACGCGTCGTACTCGTCCACGAACAAATTGGCGGGTTACTCGACGAGTAGTTCGTGCCGATAATGTAAACGTGCCACTAGACGTATAATACTCATACTGGTGACCGGCAGCCACTTCAAAAGTGTGAGATATTTAGTGCTGCAAACGCTAATCCGCCTGCCAAGCAAAAACTTTTATCGCAAAGTGGTAAATCTTCCTTAAATTTCAAAAGGCACATGTTCCCATTTTTCCACAAACCCTTCTTTAATAAAGTGAAGATCCTTTGCCTATTCTAACGGAACATATTTGCTTAAACTTTTTGTAGAAAATCTAAATTAAATTCTTATGTTGTTATATAAATAATAAAGTTCTAAATGTCTGACTTACCGACCATACCATTATTTTGTGACATGTCGTTCATTTTCTTAACAAATTTATGTTTAGATTCAATGACCTGAAACAAGTTTATTCAGCAGTTATTCTATTCTTTTTATATTGTAAATGTCATTTATACGATGGAATATAAATAAATAAATCAAGGTGAAATGGGCTCCGAGGACAGTATATTAACTAAATGGAAAATGAAACTTGCAAAATGAAAAAGTTAGAGATATTCTTTTTTAAACAAAAATTAAAAATTATTGATACGGGTTAGTGAATACAAATTTAAAAACTATTTAAACAAGGTATTGTTGCCAAAAAAACCGATTCAGCTTTAGTTGATACAAAAAAATCAAAATTTTCAATCAAATTCAATTTAGTTCTATCAGCTTAGGGTTCGTGACAATAAAAACTGCCGATTAAATTACCAAAATTGACTACAGAATACCAATTAAAACTAATACACACTAATAATTAATCACACTTAACACTTTAGTTCACTTTATTTCGCTATTAAGTCTTCACTTGTATCGCCAATTCAATACTGCCTCGGTCGCGGCCCGTAACGGCTTTAAATAGGCCTTTTCCACCGAAACATCTAAAGTGTTCCAGCAAATACCTACTAGGTGTAGAAAATTCGAGTGTGGAGTTTTCTATAAAGCTTAGTTCTTCTATTCGATATTAGATGGCTCTAGTGGGAGAGTTCTAGAATGATCTTGAAGCTCCTATTTCTGCTACTTGACACTAGATGGCGCTAATAATCACCTGCCATATATTGGGCATTAATTGTGGCGCGCAACACTGCCACCTCCTCAACATTGTACAACTTCAGTGCGCCTCTACTACGGGTCTGCGTTCCCTTTACAGCCGCACAACCTGTACATTTGCGATACCAGTCCTGGACATCGTTTCGACAGTGGACTCAGTAAAACTGTTCTCGGATCTTTAGTAGAGTTCGTTTATCTCCCAGATACCTCCTGAACAATCATTATGATACAGTAGAACATCCGGTACTTTAGCGTTAAGGACGGCCATTTGTAAATGACAGCTGTCTCCCCGACCACTTTACCATTTACGGCACAAAACTCCATTCTGAAGCAGCAAGCTGTCCCATTGGGCCCAATAGCTTTTCGTGGTCGAAATCATCGCTGAGATGTCACTCCACTTGGGCTTGGGAGCACTGGCCTTCATCCATTCCAGAATCCATCCAGAAACCATTCCGTTGAGACAACACACCGCCAAGTCCTGTATCACTTGAGTCTGTGTCAACTATAATTTCCTTACCTGCATCCCAAAATAGGTGTTTTGCAAAGACGGTCCTTGAGCTCTTGGAATTCGATATCGCAACTTTCATCCCAGCAGATATTTTGCTTCTCCTCTGTTAGCTTGTGCAGAGGTTTAGCTATATCTGCAAAGTTCTTCACAAATCGCCGGTAATAGGAGCACACAATCAAAAAATTCTCTAACCTGTGTCTTGTCTTTTGGAACCTACCAAGCCTTGGCAGCAGCGATTTTCTCTAGATCCGTGCGATTACCTTCTTCTGACACTACATACCCCAAAAAGTTAACTTGCCGTTTGAATAGTGTACATTTATTCGGACTCAACTTGAGGTTGGCACTCTGAATCTTCATGAGCCCGCGTTCCAGGTTTTGAAGGTGTTCCTCAAACGTGCGGCCTACGATGCTGATGTCATCCAAGTAGACCAGACAGGCATCGTCAATTAGCCCGTTAATAACAAGTTCCATCAACCTTTCAAACGTTGCTGGAGCATTGCACAACCCAAACGGCATTACTTTAAATTGCCACAGACCCTTTTCCGTCGAGAACGCAGTTTTCTCTTTGTCCATATATCAGTTTTATCTTTGTCTATTTCAACTTGCCAGTAGTCACTTTTAGTAATGTAGTAGGTCCAGCGTGCTAAACCACTTTACTCCTGTAAGCATGTCCAGCGTGTCGTCAATTCTTGGCCAAGGGTAGTCATCACAAAACCGCATGCTGCCGTCCTTCTTCTTTACGAGCACCACCGGTGAACACCATGCATTAATATTTTTTTATATATTATTACATTCAATAATTACACGTTACGTTACGGTACAATCATAAGTATATGGAAACTTTACCATGTACCGATATCACCGACAACAACAAATATGAGGGTATAGTAAGAAAAAAGAAATATACTTTAGCATTTATTAGTTAATTGCGTGATCTTCTATTGCATAATGCATCGCGCATGGATCCTATATATTATAGAGGGCGCTTGCTTTAGGGCGTTTTCGTGGTATTTATTATTAAAACATATTATGTACAATTTAAAATTAGGATCATGGACTAGCTGAAGGTTCAATAACACCATCCTTCACCATTCCCTCAATCATGGTTTCCATTTTCTTTTCACGTGCTACCAGCAATCTTCTTGGCCGCTGACGGATAGGCAACTCTTCTCTTGTGTTTATTTTGTGTTGAACTAAGCCAGTCTTTCCTATGTCAGCACCGTTTGACGAAAATACATCGGCGTACTTGAGTAACAACTTCTTTGCCATGACCAATTCATTCAGGTAGGGAACGCCGTGACAGTCTTCTAAAAGTGTGGTCACTCTCGTTACTGCATCCTTGCTGGCAGTCTTACTCGATAGACGATAGATATTGGCACCGACGCAAACAAACCACTTCCTCACAAGTACCAATCAGTGTGCCTTTTTCTATAGCCTGTTCCTGGTCTCAAAGGTTCAGCACCTCCTGAGATGTCAGTGGTTCTGACCAAGGCTCGAGCTAATTTCCATGGAAGGTTATTGGAAGGTCCCTTTCCACGAGTACACAACGGTAGGATTGCCCAGGGTTCCGAGGAAGACTAACCGGTACAATCGTTTCCGATCTCGGTGGAAGAACAATCTTCTGAAGGCTGTTCACGTTCCCTGGTAACGCCCCTTCTACAATAAGTTCCTCCTGTCCACATTTCAGAACACCTAGCTTAACGGCAATTTCACAACAATTATTTCTCATAAATTCTAGGCCCAGGATGCAGTCGTCCACGATATCAGCCACGATGACATTATGCAGGTAGATCATGTTGCCTAACTTCAACTCCATCTCCTTCTTTCCATGGACGGGTATGCACTGACCGGTGGCTGTTACCAAATTAATGCGTTCTTCTTGGTCGTATGCGGAGTGCCCAAGGAACTGACTTATAAGTTGGGAAATGACAACCGTGCGAGAGGCTCCAGTGTCTATGGTCAGACTGCATTCCATTGACCTCGCCCTTGATGATTAGGCTGTTCCCGTCATGGGTTTGTGAGATCGAAATCCTTTGGACTCTTTTAACATCAGCCAGCACCCGCCCCGCAGTCCTGGCTTTTATTCGTTTCCTTGCTGCTGCTGGGCGGTGCTGTTAGCCGCACTACCCTCTCGAGAACGATCACCTTCCCTTTCTACAGTTAGCTTAGGGTAGCTGGATCGAAGATGGCCTCTTTCTCCAAAGCCATAGCACCTAGGGCTGTATCCTTTATTGCGGTAGCGAACTGTAGCTGCCGCAACCTCCTGAAGAAATGAAGATCCTGCCCCACGGCTTCCACCTCCAGTGCATGGGCCAAGGCGTCCTTAAGCGTCTCGTGATGCCCGAGCCTCACAGCAACTCTGACTTCAAGGTCACGGATGGCGTCGATGAATGTCTGCACGAGGTTCCCTTAAATGAGCGCAGGTACAGACTGGTATGCTTTTCGAACCATCTTCTCCACCTCAAGGGCCCACTGCTGCAGGTTTTCTTTGCTGCGTTGCACGCGATCTTTAAGCTACGCAAGAAAGACGTGGTCCAGGTGAGCGTCGCCATATCTCGCTCCAATGCCTCAAGGTGCTGCTCTTAAGTCACTTTCTTACCGAGAGCTTCCAAAACAGTTAAGGCTTGGTCGCGCAGGCCTAGGGTGAGTGCAGTCATGGCCTGAATTTATTCCAGCCGTTCGCCTCCATGACAGACTCGAACTGGATTTTATAGGCCGACCAGGAAGAACTCCCGTTGAACGGCGGCACTGTGAATCCACGTAGCGAAGGTGTTATAGCTACTACGGAAACTGTGATTCCATCCCCAAGCTTGAGGTCGTCCAGCGTTTTCTTCACGTCAGCCAATACGCTCTCAACCCGATTGTTCACTTGATTGATTCGGGTTTCAGCTTCTGACAGGCGGTTGTCATGTTGAGCAACCCTATCCTTCACCTCCTTTATCTCTTTCCCGAAGGTAGCATGAAGGTCCTTCACGAGGAGCTTCTGCTCTTCCAACCGATGAGCCTGTTCCTCTTGTCCACCCTGCATCTGCTCTTCGAAACGGCGGGCCTGTTCTGCCTGCCGGCGAGCCTTTTCCGCCTGCTGGCGAGTCTGTTCCTCCTGTCGGCGTGCCTGTTCCTCTTGCTGCTCTTTCAACCAACGGGGCTCTTCCTCCTGTTGGTGAGCCCGCTCCCACAGCATCATCATGAGGGCACCTAAGTCAGGTGCTACAGGTATAGGAGCTGCTGACGGGCCAGCCTCCGTGGCAGGTACTTAGCCCTCCAATGTCTTCGGCATTGCACCACCAAATCTTCTCTGGTCCGTCTCCTGCTGGCATTGACTTCGGGTACGGACACCCTCCGTGTCGTCCTTAGGTGAAATCGGCATGATTTTATCCCACTTCTGACACCAATTGTTACGAGCTTAGGGTTCGTGACAGTAAAAACTGCCGATTGAATTACTAAAATTGACACTTTAATTACCGAACACCAATTAAAAGTAATACGTACTAATAATTAATCATACTTAACACCTTAGTTCATTTTAGTTCGCTATTAAGTCTTCACTTGTATCGTCAATTCAATACTGCCTCGGTCGCGGCCCTTACGGCTTATATACAGCTTATATTACGGCTTACGGCTTATTTTATATAGGCCTTCTATACCGAAACATCTAAAATGTTCCAGCAAATATCGGTCCCGACCGACTAGGTGTAGAAAATTCGAGTGTGGAGTTTTCTAGAAAGATTAGTTCTTCTATTCGATGCTAGATGGCGCTAGTGGGAGAGTTCTAGAAAGGTCTTGACACTCCTATTTCTGCTACTTGATACCAGATGGCGCTAATAATCACCCGCCATATACATTAATTGTGGCGCGCAACAGTATTGTTTATTTCTTGTCCATATTACCTTTAATACTCCACTGTTGGGGATAGGCTTGTTTCATTGTTTTTTTTTATATAGGATAGGATGACAACCGATTTCCCTTGATATATAAACTACTGAGTGAAGGTAGCACTTACAGGTCTTACTTATTAATAGGAATAAGTATTTCGTCATTCTTGGTAAAACTAGTTACATATGGTTTGTGCGAATGATACTTAAAACTTTCAATGCTGTTATCGCATGATGTTTGTTGAGATACGTTTAAAATTAGCTTAAGAAATTATTTGTTAGTCTTGGTAAGCTTCTTTTTTAGCTAAAGGGGTATGTATTTATGAGATGTTATTTTAAAACTGGCTTGGATGGACTTTTTGTTAGTATTTTTAATATTAAATCCACGTAAAATTTCAAAACCAGATAAAAAAGCTGGATATAAGTAAAATATTAGATAAATTTATTTATTTTTCAATATTACCCGATCGACGATATCCCGAACGGTCTTTATATGCTTATAGTACGTAGTGTAAGTAGGTGTTAGTTTGTAAATAGCCTCTATTTGCAGCAAGGGATTGCAAATACGCATAATGGATAAGCAAAACAACTCTTCGAATGCATTCATAAACGTTTTTTGATCTTTTTTGCATTTCCACTCCTAATACAGTCTCTGCAAAAATAAAGAACAAATCAATATCACACGTATTTAAGATATTAGTTGAGGAATGATTTAGGGCAATAAATGCGATTTGGTAAACTACCAACTTGATCTTTTTCTTTATCAGTTTATGAGGTGCGCAGCTGAACTTGGGCCTCTTTTTATATAAAAGGGACAAACGAGCACACAGTCCACCTGATGGTAAACGGATGCTGTTACCTATAGACATCTTCATTTATCCTTATCTAAGATTCAATATTTAGATGCATTATCACCCCTGAGACTGACATGGAATGCCTCGTTTACGGTAAAAGGGGTCTCCGGTTCTTTATATTCTCCATGCAAAACACAGCAGCATTAAGATACTATTTTACGCCGCTAAAAACGTGATCCTACCTCGGTCAAGCCGACCCATTCATGCCACAATCATATTATAGCTGCAGCGTGACCTTACCACGTACATACGAGTAATCACCTGATGGTATGTGACTACCGCCGCCCAAAAACAACTGCGAAACCAGAGATTTATTACAGGTGCATTGCCAACTTTAAAAAAAGAATAGGGCCTTTTTTAAGGTTCCTTAGTTGTAACAGTCCGGTAAAATTGATGGTGGTAAGTAAATGCACAAACTTGTGTCTTCTTGGGATTGAATTAGACTAAATTTAAGTATCCTAGACTTTGTCCCAAAGAGACTCTACTTCAGACAAAAGTTTGTTCTTCAAACTTTTCCAAGAAATATTGAATATATTAAATGTGCAATGTTATTTGTATGCAATCTATCATTCATATACAGTAGGAACAGGATAGGTGACGACATACGGCCTTGTGGAACACCTGCATTCACAGGCTTGAAGTCGGTCTTCTTAAAGAAATTTGTTGACAAATTGCATAATTTCGATTAAAGGCTTAGCTATCTCCAAACTAACCACCAAGGCTGGACTTGACCGCCTGCGCTCGTTGGTGTTTTAGTTAAACAAGAAGATCAGCCAGACCAGCTGAGCGACCCCGGCGAAAACCTTGCTGGCGGTCGCTAATCCGCTGGTACCTTAAGGTACTCCATAAGCTGGCAGTTAAAAATAGATTTCATTGTTTTCGAAAACAAGGAGTTGATGGTGATAGGCATGTAGTTTAACTAATGAGAGCTGATACCTTTTTTTAAAAATCAAGTGCACCAAAGCTGTCATCCATGAGTTCAATACTACGCCTAGAGAGTAGGAGTACCGGAAAAGATGCGTCAGAATCGATGCCAAATCTGTATCACACGTCATTAGCTCGATTGGGAAGATTCCTTCAGCTCAACACTTGTGGATGTCCAGAAAGAGTAGCCATCGGATGGGACACTCACACCGCCAGATGTTCGGTGGTTTGTTTCTCCTGTCATCAGGAGTCAAATCAGGCGTAAAAAAGTTGGCTTTCTCTGATGCGGATGTGCTAGCAAGTCTTCTTCCTTGTTCAGAAATAGAAGTGATGGCTTACAGAATTTCCTTGCCTTGCCTGTCAATGTTTTTGACTTTGTCTAAGCCGTAATTCATTTGAGGCCCCTCTCGCTGAAGGGAAGACTTGCCTCAATCGTCACACAAACGAGAGTGCCGTCGTAGAAATCTATCGAAAACGAACTGAATGTACAGCCATTTGTCTTAAGCCTTTAAATGTTTCTAGCATATCCGATATTTGCCGTTTACGACAACAATGGCAAGAAATGAGGTAATAGACTTTTTTACGGAACCACATGACATTAACGATATAGAATAAGGTCTTATAAGCATTAACCGCGTTTTGTTATAAATTAGATACACAGTCAATATTTTTTAATACTGGTAATGTTATTTACATTACTACTATTGCCTGTAATCATTCCTGGTAAGCTTAGTGTGCTTGTGTTAGGAGTGGTTCACGATAGTAGTAGAATGGCGGATTAGAACCCACGACCTTTAGAGTTCGCAGTCCCCACCCTGCAATTAGGCTACTGCCGCTTCAAAGTGAGTAAATTAAGTTATCAGTCACCATTGTTAAGGCATTTTAATATTTTTGATATTTCCAACGTCGCAGTAGGTATATCTTTTTTTTTCGAACATTAATGTGACAATCACTTTTTCAGTGTAGCCATGGCTAACTCAGTTTGTAATACTGTGTGTGTATGTAATCATCTGTTATTAAAATGTAATGTGTGTGTGTGTCTGTAATTATACTGTATACCTCATATATCGTTAATGTATGTAATGGAGTCACGCTGCAGCAAAAATGGGTTTAAACCAGGGAAGGTCGACGCGTGCATAGAATAACAGCCTAACATAGCACTCAATTCTTCTTTGTTTCGTATAATGACTAACGAAACCAACTACATTTAGATTTTAATTGAGTATGAATGCGATGGATATCTATGGAGTATTTTTATATAGAATGAAGATAATAAACGGGCACACAGTCCATCTCATGGTTATTGGATGCTGCAGTCTGTAGATACCTGCATCTATTCACGATGTAAATACGTTGTCACCCCTGAAAAGTAAGCTTCTCAACACTAACCATACACTATTTCACGGACGAGCCAACCCATTATTGCAGTAACCATAATATAGCAGCATTTGTGCAGTTGTTGTTTTACAACATACTTTTAAATATTGTACAAATTAAAAAGGACTCCATTTAAGATGATGACGCTAATGGGGTTGCTAATTTTAAACCCGGGGCGAATGATCAGAAAATGGTGCTGCGGTAAGTTCCCGGGTTTGAATCTGGAAACGGATGGTCACTAAATGTTAGGGTGACTAGGTTTCCCTTCGTATCCAGAGAGAAGGAACCTCAAAATGGTTGGACCACAGGTATAGCCAAAACAAGATAGTGGATGTGGCACGTGGCCGGGTTTTGGGCAATGCATTTGCTAGGACCTAATCTACTATATCAGCCGGCAAGAAGGGAAAATGCACTTACATGGGCGTTGATTATCTGATTGCCTCTACTCAGGCCTCGAGATTGATGGCGCTACGTTGCAGCTGCGGTGGTGCGCAACGACAAATTATTCGCACTAGGACACGACGATAAATTGCACTATGCAAAGTGGTCACTACTAAGTTTTTCTGTGGCCGACTGCCACAAGTACAATCACATCTAGGATCAATTTTCAACTGCTCGGCGCGGCCACACGTCGAGAACTCTGGTCGGCCGGTGGCGTGTTTGCCCTTTCACTTTTTGCGTAGCCCTCTTATTGAACGTAGTAATGACGCCACCATGTCTAGCCTCCAATTGGTGGCGTGCCCGTGCAGGAAGGGAGACGAAAGTAAAGAGTAAGGATATTACCAGCTAAAATACTTAACTAAATGTGCATTTTGTCGCACCCATAAGATACAAAGTGAGTGCACTACTTGCTTAACGTCAAAAGTTGAAAGGTGTAGAGCCGTGCCGCGGCTATATTGCTGGTATAGTTGTAGCACGAATTGGTTGGCTCGACCGGAGAAAGACCACGCTTTCACGAATATCAGCGTAATATAGCAGCTTAACGCTGCTGTAATTCGTAGAGTGAGTGTAGAGAACCCGCGACCGTTTTCAGTGGAAACGAGGCATTTCATCTTAGCCCTCACGGTTGACAACCCATCTGCATTTTAATTCGTAACCGAGGGTGGATGTGGATATCTATAGGCCGTGGCAACCACTAGGTGGGCTGTGTGCTCGTTTGTCACCCATATCCTTTAAAAAAAATAGATCTGAGTTAGCCAGAAGATACGAAAATGACCACTTATTCTACTTACCTAACTTAAATAACTTAATTTTGTCATTTTTAATTTTATCAATTATCTATCTAACTTATTTAACTTTATTGATATATAAACTGATATGAAAAAAATACCAACCACATACTGACTCCATGGTAAAGGTAGTTATATATTTTGAAATAGAAATTGTGCCTCTGCCCACTACTGGTTTTAGATTCTCTATAAGGCGATTGCTCTGTTTGGCAAAAACTTCAACAAATTGTCGCAGATTTCTTGTAGAGAAACTCGGAGCAAGGATCTTACGCCGGGGTCGCCAAATACTTACTGAAATCAAGAAAACATACAACTTGTATTTACACACACAAACACACACGCACACACACACACACACACACACGCGCGCGCACGCACGCACACACGCATTCATGCACACACATCATTAGTTCTTCTCAAGATATGTGGGACGAAATAGTTAACTAACCTACACAATACAAATTAAGTACTAGCCACACTGTCGACAATTTTGTTACGGAAATTGTCAGCGGAATCAAAGTTTAAATTATCAACTATTTGATTGTATTTATTTAGCAGGTTACATAGTCTGGGTAATGGAAAATTGGAGCCAAGAACAGTCTGCGGGTTGGTGGTATTAATAGTGCTATCGGATGATGCAAACATCTTAAAGGAGTGTTAAATTCAAACGCGTTTGTAACTGTGGACAGCTTGTTCTATTGTTGAGAATTTCATATATAAACAAGTCTGTTAGCTCCCTACGTTTATTCAAGAATAAACTTTGAAAAATTTTAGTCTATCCGCATATGAGAAATCTCTCTTAGAATTACCAATTAATTAAAACAAATGCCACAGAAATCGCTTTTAAATATGCTCAATGCGTGGAGTATGAACCGCAATGTGTGGACGCTGACAAGGTAACAATACTCAAGTGTTCCACGAAAGAGACTATTATACAGCATTATCTTAGTTTTAAGGCTATATCCTTTGCGATTTCATATGATAGGCCCAAGTAGCCTTAAAGGTTATTTAACGATATTTTCGTTATCTAATATATAAAGATTAATGTTTGTTTGTTCGTATTTAATGCTCTGCAATGTCATTCATCAGATTCACTTTGTCAACTTATTACTTGCACTTTCGCAAAGGTTAAAGGCGTAGTCATATTTAGCAGGCGCTGTTTTGAAATCTACATATTAACCTTGAGTAGCCGGGTCAGATTGCTAGTGAGCTATAAATATCAACTTGCTATCTACAATAACCCCTAAATCTTTTATAACCTCTACCTAATCTAAATCTTAATTTGTGCGTGTAGACTTAAATTCGAAGCCATGCTGATTATCTTTAAAGTGAATCTTACAGATATTTTGAATTTAGAGACAGCCCAAAGATCTTTGTAAAAGTAGACAAAATCGAGATATGTCTATGATTGTTAACCAAACATTCATTATCAGACTTGTATTATATAGGTGCAACTTTAGCTTCTTTCCATTGTTTGCAAAATATACCAGTGTGCAATTATTTATATTATTTATGTAACACAGCAGTGTGACTAACATGAAGGCATATGGCACTATGAAAAATAGTGAAATTCCGTCCGGCACAGCCCCTTTAGATCGATCTAACTGTTGTAGTTTTCACAAGCGCGTTTCCACTGTAATCATCGGTGCGAAAATAGTCTGACTGTAATTTTTAAAAGCATTTAATGAGGGGTGTTGATAACATTCACATATTTTGTTGCTGCGACAGATGTTATCATTATACGCTAACAAAAAGTTTTTGTTGGTATCTACCAAATATAGAGGGGCCGTCAGATGTAGTAATGATCTTAACACTCATTGTAGCAGGGTGGTATTTTTTCTCTCAAGCTTATATGGTATTCCTCGTGGTTAATTATTGGCCCATTCCTCTTTTTCGTTACCAAATTAGTTACTTACCTAATAGTGAATAACCATGATTTATTTTTATTTCCTTGTAATGATACTTGGTCTATTTCTCGATTTAACCCTTCAATCCCCAAATGGAAATGATGAAAATATGACGAAGTGAATAATGCTATATATATTGTTTACGCCATCTACTGGAATTCACGCACATCATCCTAAGTTACGTGAAAACTGGCGCTATGTGATTATTTTAGCATGGTGGCGCTGCAATCTACAAGAACACTCAAGAAGTCAAAAGCATCAACGAGAACAATCACTATAAAATCTGGTATTGTAGAGTCAACACATATATTATTTGAAACCAATATATTGTTATTTAGTACAAACAAATTTTTCGGAAGAATTTAATGTTCAAACCATCATCCCACCTGAGAAAACCGACAACGAAAAACTAACTCGAAGCGAACATTTTATCAATACTAGTGTGCACTGGTTTAGCACCAACAATTTACTGTTGAACAGAAAAAAAAAACAAAACATATGTGTTTTAGTCGGAATTACAATTAACACAAAATTTTATGGATATCGGCCCCCATATATCTAAACTAACCAGCAAACAGTGCAACATATGTTGTAAAAAATATTAGAATTCTTGCTGTTTTGTACTAAATCCGTTTATTTAAGTTATAAACATAGCTTATCTTAATCTTATGGAATGCTGTTATAGAAAAATTTAGCTGACATTGAAACATGTTTTGTTTTTGAGCAGAAAAATAACATTAAAAGTATCTTATGAACGAAATCAAGAGCAGTATTAGAGAAAACTTTAAGAAAATAAGGTAATAACTCCTGGGTTTATTGCTTCTTCTTCTCAGAACAAAGGTTTTTTTTCTGTAATGGTTGTAAATTTTTACAATAATCTGTGGAAAGCGTTTCAAATTTAACTGATAGTATAAGATTCATAAAGTTCCGATTTCAACTTACTGGGTGCAAAGACAGTTCCATTGCCAGTAAAATTACGCATTATGTCCATAATTTCAGGTTTGTCCAAGCAAGTCTTTAAGATTATCTCGGCAGCGGTTGCATCTGATACAACTGAAAGTAAATATTTCTTATTAATTGTTTGGTCAAGTTATAGATGGGTTTGGTTAAACGCATGATCACTTTATCTAAGTTGCGAACCCCAAATATTTTCTATGGACCGAAACAACTTAAGGAAATTCAAAAAAGAGAGATTTAGAAGGCTTAGTTCAGATTGCGTTTACAGATTCTAAATTTGCTCTGAAATAAAACGTGTTTTGGATAGCATTGGAAATTACCAACTATCGTATTATAATTCTACAATTCTAACTATCGTATTACAGATCTATCGTTATTATTATTGTATTATTTATACATATTTATATAAAGATGAGGAGGTGGAGGAAATATATGAGAATATTCCTAGAGCCAGGCATTCCTCCAAAACCCACTATACGGTGTGAATAGGAGACCAACTCAAAACAAGGTACAAGAAAAAACAATGAGCTGAAGGTATGGAAATTTGGAATAAGGCAACGGGAACTAAGTAGCTAGCAGCTGGCTGGCTTCATGGAGAAAGAGGGACTCTTTATTATGATTTTTTCCCAAGAAGAGGCCCCACAGAAAGTGGGCCTGGTCGAGGCCAGACGGTTCGACAAAAAATGAGATTGACTTCATTATGACGACTAGATGACAACTTTTTCGTGATGCCTCAGTGATCGCAAGGGTGAAAACTGGCAGCGATCACCAAATAGTTAGAGGTACACTGAACCTAAACGTGGGAGAGGGCTCGTCTAATGAAGTCAAAGCTCCGTCCCCATCGCTTTCTGATCTAAAGTCCCGAAACCTTTCAATTCGACTCGATTTCGTTACGAAACCGTTTTCAGTGCCTAGAAGATTGCAATCTAATGGACGATATAAATGATAAGCTCATGGAAACTGTCCATATGATTGGAGCTAAGTTTTGCAAGACCCGCCGAAGAAGAACAAAAAACCTCTCCGATCACACTCTAAATCTCATGGCTCTTAGACAAGAAATGAATCTGCAGTTTTAAAAAATTTGGCAGCATACAGGCAACTGAACAAATAGATCTCCAAATGCATGTGGTGGGGCTAACGCAACTTCAATACTGCTCGTATTGAAGAAACGATCGAGTGGAACCAGGGCTCCAAAGTATTTGGCAGAGATCTGTCTGCGAGAAAGTGCCAATTCTCTAAGCTGAAGACTGAGTGGAAGAATCTTTTCCGAGGCACTTGAGAATTTGAGTGAGATTGAGAGGTTCTATGGGCACCTGTACACATCAAAAAGATTAAAAATTTGTATTTAAAATACTATGTCGCTCACGTGAGAAATAAAGTAGTCAGAAGTAACTAAATAGAATTGCAAAGTGTTAACTTTCACCACAAACTAATAAGAAGTGCGTAGTTTTCACTATAAGTCATGTAGAAAAACACAATTTTTTATATTCTAAAAGGTCCAATGTGCAAAAATCATGTTTTGTGTTATAATTCCAATATATCGTGCGTATTATGATAAAATTGTTTTCAATAAAAATAGCATTCGTTAAAGATAGCTTGATAAGGTATATACCTGTGCTTGATTTTTATTTATTTGTTAGAGGCACTTACTGAGTGTATCTATTAAAATATCGATATAATTGCATTGTATATTTTATTTTATAATATTTTGGCGCGTCGCTGCCGACGATTGTGACGGCAGACGCGTGCCCGTGCGGTCTCGGCACGGTGCTCGCGCTGTGTCATCTGGACGACACGGAAAGCGTCTTACCCTATGCCTCGCGTTCACTCATTCGGGCGGAATGCAATTACGCTCAAATTAAAAAAGCCACTGCTGTTATATTTACAATTGAAAAAATCCACCACTGTTTGTATGGCCGAACGGTACCGTTTATTCTAAGGACGGAACATAAGCCTTTACTATCCATTTTCGAAAACAAAACCCTACCTGACATGGCGGTTAATCGGCATCAACGTTACGTGAACTTTTTATGTGCCTATAAATTCACATTAAATTATGTTAGATGTGACATCAATGTGGGTGATTTCTTATCGCGATCTGTTAATCATTTACAAAACGAAATTGATAATGACTGCTCGGATCTTGATAAAACATTGTAATTAATATTTTATAGATAACTGAGTTTTAAAACTAATTACTGTAGAAGAAACAAGAAAAAAAATATCCCGAGATAATAAGATATTAAATAAAATGTTTGTTTGGATGATAAAATGAATTTTGTATTTCTAATGGAATGCAACATTTGACTATCGTGCTTTATCACCCCCAATCACACGGGGAAGCAGAAAATAGCGTTAAAACTTTAAAAAGAGGAATCAAATTAATAACGAGTATAGAGGAAATTGGATTATGTAATCAAATTATTTAAAAAAAAATATTTGATTATAGGAACAGTCGGCATTGCACTACCGGTTTTTCTCCAGCCCAATTAATGTTAGTGCGCTGCTTGCGGTGTCGGCTCGACCTATTATCTATCACTACAGAATCGTTACCGCTGTCATCGATATCTGCCGTTAAAAAAATGTTTCGTATCAACAGATCTCTCAATGTAAGCAGTATGGGGGCCGCTGTTCAACTTATTTTGCTATTGACGATAAAGTATTAGTTAAGTGTTTTTAGAATGGTTCCAAGCATACGTGGTAACTTTTAAGAATAGTTAAGATAGTTGATTCTAGAATGTATTTGGTAAAAATTAAAAGAACATGTAAACGTTTAAAAAAACATATTGATCATCTCATAGCTTATAAAGGAAATTGCACATTACAAAGTTTACCCAAATACGGAGGATATTTCTTGTACCGATAATGACGTTATAGACTATTATACACCTTCTGAAACTGCCCTGGATACAGCGAAAGAACAAAATGTTCAAAACACCATACAATGTTACTCATTCTTTGAACGATTCCTTAAGTAGCGGTTCATTGCCGCCGGAATTTGAACTAGGGGAGTAGAGGACCGTTAGCGTTGCACCGAGTGATCTCTCAATGTAAGCAGTATGGGAGCCGTCGCACAAATTATTTTGCTACTGACGATAAAGTATTAGTTAAGTGTTTTTATAATAATGGTTCCAAGCATGTATGGTAACTTGGAAGAATAGTTATGATAGTTGATTTTAGAATGTATATAGTAAAAATTTAAAAATCATGTAAAAGTTAAAAAAAAACATATTGATCATCTTATAGCTTATTGTAGCGCGCTATAATTAGCGCTTGGCAATGGCGGGTGATTATTAACGCCATTTGATATCAAGCAGTAGAAAAAGGAGTGTCAACATATTTCTAGAACTCTCCCACTAGCGCCATCTAGTATCTAATGGAATAACTAATCTTTCTAGAAAGCCCCCACACTCGAACTTTCTGCACTTGGTCGGTCGATCCGGTATTTGCTGGAATATTCTATATGTTTCAGTGGAAAAGCCTATATAAATCCGTTGAAAACCGCGATTGGGGCGGTATTGAATTGGTGATACGAGCGAAGCTTTAAGCGAAATAAAGTGAATTAAAGTGTTAAGTTGGTGTTCAATAATTAAAGTTTATTTTGGTCATTCAATCGGCAGTTTTTACTGTCACGAACCCTAAGCTCGTAACATTATATAGGAAACTAGCTGTTACCCGCGGCTTCGCCCGCATGGTCACTGGGAAATGAACTATCCACTGCTTTTTTGAAATGAAAGAAAACTGAGTTTTATAGATTTGTCAGAGATGCAGCCATTAAAAGGAAACTCAGCAAAATTAATTCGTCAGCCTATTTAAATGTTTTGAAACGCAGCGTATAGGAAAGCATGAAAATAGCCTGTTTATTCGAAATGGAAATGAGATATTTATTAATTAAAGGAAACTGAGCATAATTATCCGTCAGGGATGCAGACTTTTGAAAAGAAACTGAGCTAAATTGATTCGTCAGAGATGCAGTTTTCTAAATTGAAAGGAAACTGAGCCAACTAAAAGATCCGTCAGAGATGCATCCTTTTGAGATGAAAGGAAACTGAGCTAAATAGGAATTTTTGAATTGAAAGGGAAGATCTGTGGGGATAATGATTAATTGATTGTGGGAATTTTGGAAAAAAAAACTAACTGAACACTATTTTAAAACGCTAGTGTACACGATGTTATATGTTTTTCCATTCGGTGAAAGAATGTGGAGATACTGGGCATTTGACACACGCGAACATGCTACATACAGCTGACCATAAGAGAAGCACGGTTTTTCTAAGTTGACCCCCGCTACCTGTAACGTTTGCCCTTGCGCTTATTAATTGTCATTGCAAAACTGAGCTTTATAGGAAACTGCAACCTTTTGAATTGAAAAGGAAGATCTGTGAGTTATAGGGATCCGTGGTATAATAACATTTTCACCTTTTCCTACGCCTGTCAAAATTGTAGCACCGATTACGTTCCGTCCAAGATGTGTCACACGCAGCATTGTCCCGTTACATAACCGAGGAGCCTCTAAATTTCGCATTAGCATGACTGGGACGCCTTATTTTAATTAAAGCTTATGTGAGGGCACACTTGACAACTCTAGAGAATTTAGAAACTCTACGGGATATGAAGTGCTCTGTTCTGTGTCCACAACTGTGTCTACTGACAAATACTCTGTTATTTCTCCTGCTACTTCGCTTAATATATCTGTATTTATTTTGTTAACGCTCTCATTTTTTGGTGCAAGAAGAGCCCTTTCACATAACCATTTGTCTTCATGCATGATGTTCGTTAAATTTGAATAAACGCTCGCAATTAATTCGGAATGACTCTGTACTAAATTACAAAAATCTCTCGTCAATTTAACGCAGCCCTCAGCATCTGTTTCCGACCGCCCAAGGCCAATTTTAATAGTGTGTGAGCATAGTTTCCAGCATTGATATCATTATACAAATGCACTCTCATATTAGTAGTTAAACTGAATTTTGTCACCTTGTTCCATAAAATGGACGACTTGAGGCATGCTTTAATTTAATCTGCAGGTGTGCCCCTTTGAATGACAGGTAAAGTTTTGCGAAAGACACCAGCCAGTAAAACCACCATTCCTCCCA